TTCCCAGCAACCACATGGTGGCTCACAACCACCTGTAATGAGATCTGGTGCCCTCTTCTGGCCTGCAGGGACACATGCAGACAGAACACTGTATACATAGTAAATAAATAAATCTTTTAAAAAAAAGAAGGTAGAAGGAAAACTGTGTGGGGGAATAAAGAAGAGTATAAGAGGGAAAAGGACAAGAAACAGGAGGGTAAGAGGGTAGGGAATATGATTAATATATAAAATATGTACTTATATGGAAATTTTTTAACAAAAGTATTTTCAAGTAAATCTTACAGAAACACAGAGTAGAAGAGTAGTTTCCAAACTATGAGAGGATAAGGAGGATGGTAGGATGGAGAAAGGACAGTTAAGGGGTACAGGGTACAGCTAGATAGGAGGTATAAATTCTGAATGTTCTGTAGCACAGTAGGGTTTCTAGGGAAGCCAAAAAGCAATTGTGTATTTCAAAGTAGTTGCTGGATATGCCAGTTACCCTGATCTGGTTTTACACTTTGTAGAGGTGTACTGAAATACCACACTCCATCCTATAAGCATGTACAATTGTTTAGTGCCAAGTGTTGAAGTTTAAAAAAATATGAGGCAAAAAAAAAATACCCAATACAAAAATTGTCATAGGCAGAATCTCAGATCAGCTCATTTTTTCCACAGACAGCTAGCCAAGCTCTCCAAAAGCAACATCTTGCATAACTGCCGTTGTCCTGACCATGTTCTTGGCAACCTGTGATCTGTGGGAATTCTTTTAAAGAGCAAAATCAATTATTCAGTGACATAGGAGTAATGCCTCCAAGTGCTGACATTATCTTGCTGTGTTTTACTCAGGGTTTAAAGAGTCTTACTTGTTATTAGACTGCAAGGGTCTTAGATAAGTAACGAGAAGAGACTGAAGTTCTTTGGCATATTCTTTTTCAGTGTCCAAGATGTTCTGTAACACCTGTAGAGAAACGAGAATTAAAGTCTCATAACTGTCAAGCAAGTCCAAGGTCAGAGCTTTAGATCTTCTAATCAAACTCCTAGAGAAAAGCATCCCAGTTTACTTAGGCTGATGTTAGATGTCAGGAATACAAAAATGCATATGTATTTTAGTTCACACTGGAAAAATATTTTAATAATTGTTTGACAACTAGTTGGATGAAGTAACTCATATGAACACAATTATTGTGAATTCTCCACAACTGGAGGAACCTTACCACTTACATGGTACTGGTCACAATTATTTATGCTTTAAATAAGTTCATCAAGGAAGGGGCTAGGTTAGCTAATAAAGGCTAACTATTCCCATTTTATGAATAATAAAAGTATAAGACATAGAGACTCAAGACTAGGAGAATTCAAAGATAATTATGACACTAAACATTAAGGACTTGGTTTCTGTATTGTTTCTGATAAGACATTTGTGGAACAAAATCATAGTATATAGTACATTCTTAAGCAGGATTGAAACTGGTCTTTCAATAAAAACAAAGAGTGCCCACATGAACAATTCATATAGAAAAGGAGACAGTACTGTGAAGAATTTAATGAGGAGAACAATTCAATAATTATGTTATTAATAACACAAAATTCTTTTTTGCTCTTGGTTTGAGACAAAGTCTTACTCTAGTCCAGAATGGCTTGGAACTTACTATGTAGTTCAAACTAGCCTCAAACTCACCATAATCCACATGCTTAAGCCTCTACAGTGCTGAACTTTTTTATCAGTGTATGCTACCACACCTAGCTAATAAGATCTATAGGCACAACAATCAATGTAGGACCCCACCAGTTCTCTTCTCCTACCAGTTCTAAGTCATCCCCCATTTCTCAGCCTGTTCTGGAAGCATATAAAACCTTCATTTCAAGCAATTATACATGACCAAGTTACTATTTTGCTATATGTTATATTTATATTTTTTTCACGTCTTCTAATTCATTGAAAGATCTTTCCTATGCTAATGGCTATGCTGCTTACAGATAGGGAACTTCTACCATATCTGAAGATGAAGATATTAAATAGGAACCTACAAGACAGAGAGAAACATGTATGGCTAGGAGAAGCACATTAGTCTAGCAAAAAGGTGAAAACGCACAGCTGACAGCATGCCTATGGCTTCCACATTAGCTGGATTCCATAGGGCTTCAGCTTCCACAGGATTCAGCTAATTTCAGATTGAAAATAGGGTTAAAAGGTCACCTGAATAGAATCCATATGGACTTTCCCTTTGTCATTATTTCTTAAATTATATAGTATATTTAACACAAGACTCTAATCCCAGCTACCCTTGGGCCTGATGTAAGAGGACTTCAAGTTTGAGGCCAGCCAGGGTAACTTAGTCAGATCCAGTCTCAAAATAAAAAATGGGAAAATAAAAGCTGAAGGTGTAGCTCAGAGGTAGAGCACTTGCCCTGGCATGTGTGGAGTCTTAGGTTCAGTTTCCAGAATCACAAGTAATACTTAATAGTGTAACAATTATTAGCATGGCACACATACACGGGCAGGCAGCATAGAGATTATCTCAAGTGTAGGAGAGGATGCAAAAAGAGCATGTATAAATTCTAGACTATTTTATATAAAAGACTTGAACATCTGTATCCGAGGAGGCCCTGGAGCCAATCCTTGTGGATACCAAAGAGTGGCAGTACTCACAAGACAAAGCATGATGACCAACTTCTGAAAAGTGGAGTAGCTGAAGTAAGTAGGGGACCAAGGAACCGCTGGCTTTCTGGTGAACAATTGAACTTGGGGATGGTAGTCCCAATTGTGCTATTGGCTTACAGGCTGCTTCAGTTTTAAGGCATAGCCTACCTCATCTCAGATTGTGACATTTCAGGGACCATTGTGAAGTAGCAGTGAGATGCTGCACAGGTAGGTACTGGGCAAGTGGCAAGCACTTTGACCAATTTAGAGGCTAAATGCATTTCTGACAATAATAGCACTATTAGAATTTCAGACAAGAAGTTTCTGTTGGGAGAGGAATGCCCTAAAATCTTGAGGGAAGTTAAGCAGCATCCCTGACCTCTACCCATTAGATGCCAGTTGTATGCCATCCCATGCTGCAGTTACTACCGTCAAAAATGTGCTCAGAAGGGTAATGTCACCTTAGTTGGGAACCAGTGACTTAGAAGGCCATAAGGTGGTTTCCAAAGCTAAGGGTTTGCTAAGCATAAAGGCACATGCCTATTATCCCAACACTCAGGAAGCTGAGGCAGAAAGATGGGTTGAGGCCAGCTTATATACACAGTGTGTTTAAGGCTAGCCTGAGCAAGACCTGAGCCTACAACAAAAAAGGAGACCAGTGAAGGGTTAAATTGTAGGCCCTACTGACAGCCACTTTTGTCTACTTTCAGTTCCCCTATTGCTCAGAAACTATTCTTTACAAATGTAAATTCAGAGGTGTGAAAGGACTGGTGCTCTCTGAAATTAGTCCAAGGATGGAACAGTAATGTTACCGCCTACAAAAAAATCCAGTTACAATAAAGGCCACTAGAAACTGCTTTGGGCTGACTGAAAAGCAAATTCAGCATGCACAAACTGGGTCTGGAGCTCAGATGGCAGGGTACTTATCCAGCATGCACAAAGCCCTGGGTTCCATCCCCAGCACCACACAAACTGGGTGTGGTAGTTCCCACTTAGAATCCCACTGTTCTTGGGAAGTGGAGGCAGGAGGATGAGGACTTTAAGGTCACTCTCATCTACACAGGAAGTCCAAGGCCCACCTGGAATACATGAGACCTTCTCTTAAAAAAAAGTGGCAACTTACTGGTTTCAATTAAAATGATGCTTCAAGAAACTAATTATAAAGCCGGGCGTTGGTGGCGCACGCCTTTAATCCCAGCACTTGGGAGGCAGAGGCAGGCGGATCTTTGTGAGTTCGAGG